GCAGTCTGTGCTTCTTTCTTGCCTGGAATCTTGCTTGTGCTGTTGACTTCCCTCCTCATCTCCAAGGGCCAGCACAGATGCATGTTCTTAGGAAGCAGCCCTGGTTGGGACCTCCTCTCTAACTCATGTACTTCTCTCTGCCTCTGAATTTTATTTTTTTGCTCTTTCTTTAAATAAGAGTTTAGGTAAGATGTAATTTACGTACTTTAAAATTGAACCATTGAAAGTATTTATTTTGATGAACTTTAATAAATATATACAGTTGTGTACCTAGAATGCCACCACTCCCAGCATTCATTTGCAGTCACTTTCCATCCCTTCTCCACCCCTACACCACTACTGATCTACTTTCCATTTCTGCACATTTGCCTTTTCTGTAAATTTCATGTAAGTAAAATCATGTGATCTGGGATCTTTTCTGTTTACTTTGTTTTTGCAGTGCTGGGATGGAAACCAGGCCTTTGGGCATGCTAGGCGAGTGCTCTACCAATCAAACACACCCCCAACCCTTTTATTTTTATTTTATTTTATTTTACTTTGAGTGAGAGTCTTACTAACTTGCCTTGGCTGGCCTCAACTCTGTGACCTTCCTGCCTCAGACTCCTAAGTAGCAGATATTATAGGCTTGTCCTACCTTGCCTGGCCAATTTGAGATCTTTTTTGTCTAGCTTCTTTTCTTAGCATAATATTTTTGAGGTTTATCCATATTTTAGAATGTACCAGTTCTTCATCCCTTTTTATTGCTGAGTAGTGTTACACTGTATGAACATTTGGCTTAATTAAGTACTTGAGAGGCCTTTGGATTGTATTCAGTTTTTGGCTCTTATGATTTATGCTGCTATACATATTTACATATACATTTCATATGAATAAATTTTAATTTCTCTTGGTTAAAAATCTAGGAATGAAATTGTTGAGGCATTTTCACTGAGTTCTCATAAGCAGGAGCTTATGGCATTTATCAGTCACTTCCTGATCAGGCACTACCTGCCACTTCTAGTCACCAGCCATGTCTTGGTCCCAGCCCTGGCTTATTGTGTGTCTGGCATCATTCCCTGACCTCTGGGGGACTGGAGGGACCCTCCCCAACTACCCCTTCTTGGCTGTGCTATTTGATCTCACAGTTCAATGCATGACCAGGCCATTGTGCCTGTAGTTCTTGGCACACTATAAGATGCTTTTCTGATTTTCTCCCCCCCCTCTTCATTCTTTGAACCTCTTCAGGGGAGGGACCACGTTTCACTCATTCTTGTATTCTCAGCACCCAGAAGGGTGCCTGGCATAGAGTGGGTACTCAATAAATATTTGTTGAACAAATGAAGGAACTAGTGAATGAATGAGTGAATAAATGAAGTATGCCCTGGAAATGCTGTGTCATTTCATACATTCCTATTTCTGTGTGTGCTTCCTTCCGACTGTTTTTCCTCTTCAGTGAATGTATTTTCTCAATGTCAGGAACCACATTTCAAGGGACAGTGTAAGGAACTGCCTGTTCAGGCTTTCCCGATCCCTTGGGCTGTTTCCAAAAGCCTTGCACTCTTCTGAGCTGCAAGCTGTGCCATTAGTCTCAGTGATTCTGGATTTGCTGGTGTAATTACAACAGTGAGGGTGCTGAGTGGGGAGTATTATAGGCACTTAGCAAGCGCACCACACTAGGAGCAGGCACATGCCCTCAACAGAAGGAAAAACACTCAGGTATTTCTTCAGAAGGAGCCTCAGTGTCTTAAAATGGGCCTTCACAGCAACACCTCACATGGAGATACCTCCTCCAAAGGAAAGCAAGTGATGTCAGAAAATAATTACTCAGGGGTCAGGGATCCCTATCTTAGCTCCAAAGGCCCCAATTTAATTTAGAACTGAAATTTGACGAGAAAGAGAAATACACATTCCACCAGTCACTTTTAATTTTCCAGATGCGATTTTTATTGGTTGGTTTCCATTGCTGGAGAATATTAAATAATCAATATTTATGGCAAACACCAGACATTTCTAGTACTTCAGAAATTCCAATAAGACCTTGATGGGGGCAGGGTGGCTGGCTGCAACACTCCTCATTATACGGGATTGAACAGTGACCTTTTTTCTCATTTGTAGAGGTGGGAGTGTTGTGGTAAAAGGTTTTAGTTATTAAAATCGCAGGAACCATATGGTGAGGCTGGATTGCTACTTGTGCTCTGTGCCTTGTAATTATCATTTGTCAGTAATGACCATTCCAAATTTTTATATACATCACCTGCCTGAGAAATGAATTGTTGATAATGACAAAGGAGCAAAAGGGATTTTTCCAAAAATCTAGAGCAAAAATCCTTTGCATGTCTTATGTCTTCACCTCCCCTCTTTGCCAGAGTCTAACCTGTCAGATAATTGCTTATCTATGTAAGTGACCAAGGAGCTTGATTTTGATTCTGAGAAAGGCAGCATGGTTTGGTAGAAAGAACATTTTGGAAAAGGGGGAACTGGAGAAAGCTTTCACATTCTTTCTGCAGAGAACTGGCTTTGTGACTTCATGCATTTTAACTTCTCTCCACTTCCGTTTCTTGTATACAGTGAATATCATTTTGGTGATCTTTTTCATGTGTTTGTGTGTTCTGATCTAGCTAATTTCTATTGTCACTCCCTATCTCCCAAACTTCTGGGGTGGGAACCTAAAGCAGATTTTGCTTCACATGCCAACTCTGGTTGATTAGTAATGGCTGCTAGTAGTAGTATATTAAGAAGAATTCAGAGGCTACATCTTGTCTCACTGAAAAGTGCTGAATTGATTAGTGATGTTTATCATGGTATGAGATTGGTGAATAGTAAGATGTGCAAGATACTGGTGAATATTGTGTAATGACTGAAATCATGGGGTTTTGTTTTTGTGCCCCAGTCCAAATGCTCTCATATAGCAAATATTATCTTCTACACATTTATAGTCCTTTAAGAAAGCTGTAATGTGAAAGCAGAAGAAAAATGGATAAAAAAGATGACCTCAGAGAGCCTACTTTTTATGAGGGGATGGTTTCTGCATTATGCATGGCATTTTTATCGAATGTATTGTGACACAGATTGTAATCTTCAGACGTGGTAAAGTGTAACAGGAAATCCCTACCCTGTGTGGGTCCCTTCTTTAGTCCTAATGCACTGGTCTCTCTCATAGCTTCAAACAGATTGAGCAGGAATCAAACAATGAAAACATCATGAGTGATGTCACACAGCTAGTGGCAACAAGGCAGGACATGACCAGAAATACTAGAGTGCGTGTGTCTCTCCATTCCCCTGTGGTTCCTTCCAGAGAGCATTGTCCCACACAAATGCAGCGGTGAGGAAGGATTTTCAGGCTTGTTTATGCTGACCCCAAAGAAGGCCAGTCCCTTCCTCCTGCCTCCCTGAGCTGGGGATGGAAGTCCCACAGGGAGAGCCAAACCCAGAACTTGCCCCTGCCAGACATTCTTGGAAGGAAAACAATCTGATAGTTTTGTTGAAATTGGTATCTAGCTTTTATTTCGGGTAGTTACAATAAGCCTCTGGGTGATATATTTTGGGCCTAATTACCCTGCTTTTCACAGAGAAGTCTATGGAGTGATTAAATAAAGGTAAATGCAGTTGGCATGGTGCCAGTGCTAGAAATTCAGAGCAGTTTGTTGAAAAAGAAAAAGAAAATCTAGAAAGCAGCCCATCCTCTACCACTTCACCTCCTCATAGTGCCAGGAAACACTGGCATCATCAGAAAGCTGGTGCTTCAGAGCTCTGATCTCACTTTCCATTCCTGAGATACCAAGCAGGAAGTGGTCACGGGAGCATGAGCCCCAGCCTGGGCATGCAGCAAGACAGTAGCAAATTCTCCCCACCCTGGGCTGTCACCCATCGAGGACAGGTATGGGGATGGGCTAGGGTGTCGGGGTGCAGATCCCAGTCAGTGTTCACTTAGCTCCTGACCTTCGCTCAGTGACCCAGTGCTTGTTAAAATTCAGTATTTATAAGGAAGCTATCAGTTACTGAGCAAATATCCTGTGTGTCCAGCAAAAAGCTAAGCACCTGTGTGCTTTATCTCACTTATCAAGTATTTGTTTTTTTCATGAGAGAGTACTGAGGCACAGAGTGGTTATGGAATTTGCCTATAATCGTGCAGCTTGCTGAGAAGAAATAGGATTTGAACCCAGAAGTATTCTTGCTAGAGTCCCTGCTCTTATGTCATATAGTCAAACTATCAATGGATACGGGTATCCTTCAGGCATCAACTAGTTTGAAAGTTAACAATGCGCACCTGAGCCCAGCTGCCACTCTGCCTGGACCAGGGATGGCGAACCTTTTAGAGCTTTCAATGATAACAAACAGCTGACTGTGGCATGCGTGCCATAGGACCACCACCACTGGCTAGACCGTGGGATCTACTGAGATAACCTATGCGGCAACTTTCAGAAACTGCCAAATGCATGGAATTTGCAGTAGTTTAAGACGATCAATACCCATAAAAAGTTATAAAGTTAGAAAAAGAACACTTTTTTTATTTATGTGCTGGAATACAAGAAACAGCAGTTTTAGCACAAAGGAGTGAGGCTAGTATGGAGATTGTAAAGGGTTTCTGAGGTAGTGTCTCCTCCTTCTGTATCTCGCTGTTCATCTGAGCCTTTCAAGCTGTCCCACATCCAGGTGTATCTCTCTTCTGAAGCCACTAGCCAGGATCCAGCTGCCACCATCTTTTATCCCTGCCACTGTTATGTCACCTAAGCGGACCCACGGGCTCATTCTGGTCCCTTCCAAATCTAGTCTCCAGTCAAAGAGGGTCCCTGTAAGTAAAGCTTTCTGGATGAGCAAATGTCCATTGTCCCAAGAATAAAGGCCAAGATGCTCATTGCACCCCAGTCTGGCCCTGTCTTTAACCTGGTGCTCCTTAACTCCATTCTGCACCAGCCCAGCACGGTGGACCATTGATCTATTTGTCCAAGAATGCTCCTTTCTCCTCTGAGCCCCCTGCCTGCCATTTTCCCTGCTGGGAACATCCTCCTCTTCTCTCTCTCTTTTTTTTTTTTTTTTTGCCATACCAACCACCTCCGTGACTCCTCTTCCTTCTTCACGTGCTGGTCCAAGAGGCACCAGCGACCTCTCCTCTTCCACCATACTCAACCTCTCTGCTGTCTTTAGCCTGTGCACATCACAGCACTGCTGTTCACTTCTGGGTCTCCAGGAAACTTTGCCCCTGGCAGCAGGACTACCTCAGCCAGCACTTTCTGAAAAGGCAGAAGAATCTTACTGTCTATTTTTATTTCCATGCAAGCTATCCATCCTTTCCTTAGCACACGAGTTTTACTGTTGCTCCTCTCCTGTCACAAACAGGCCAGGAGCATCGGGGTGGGTGAAGCCTGCAACTGGAAACCTGGCTTGAGTTGAAGAGAAGCAAGACAGAGGGTTCTTCCTCTGCTCAGGCTGCCTGGGGAGATGGTGAGACTGGAGCACTGTGTAACGAGATGGGGCCAGGCGCTTTAAGAGCATTAATAGATTTAATCTGTGAGCCTAGCAAAAACTATTATCCACTCTCAAATATAAAACAGCAGTTAGAGGGCTTGAACCCTTTGCCCAGCACCGCAAGCCTGTTAAGGAGTACAGACAACTCCATGTCCTCTGCAGTTCTGCCAGAGCTAAAGCCAGCATTTGTAAGCACTTCACTATGCTATCTATGACACTGTTTTGCTGACATAAAACCAGTTTAATAGGGAGAATTCCTGGAGGGTCTGCATATGTGTATTTGTGAGCACATATGTGAGTGTCTGTCTGTAAGTGTGTTTTAGGGAGAATCAAGTTAAGTAAGAAAACAGTAAAAGTGATATAAGAGACCTGAAGTTCCCGTTGTAGACCAAAAATGGCATCATTAGAGAAGGGTACCTCACTTCTTGGCTAATATGGCTGGTGCACATGTCCGGTGGGTGGTAAAGTTTTAGTTTGACAAAAATATATGTAATGCTTTAGTATCTCCACTTTCAAGGGACCCATTGCATATATGGGTGGAAGTCATTTATTAACATTGACTTCATGGGCTGGAGCTGGGTCTTGAATGCCATGGATAGGTGAATGGAGGAAAAGGTTGGTGCATTTTAAATTGGAGTAGCATTTCTTCCCTCATCCCACCTCAGGGTCTTTGCAACATATGCTGTTTCTTAAGCCAACTTTTTCAGTGCCTTGGTGTCCCACATTACAGTTATTACTATTTGTGTATCATATTGGAATTTTCTCATCTGTGCTTTACAGTAAACTAAGATCCATCTGAGAAGGGACTGGTTCCTACTGTGTTTGGGGTTCCTGTCCTACCGTCCAGGGTTTGGCAAGAAGCAGATACTGAACCCAAACTTTGCTAGTGAGTTCATGTAAAGGACCAGTGAAAGCAAAGGACAAATAAATGATCAGCTTTAAAAAGATCTGACCTTAAAAATCAGGTGAGAAAAGGTCAATTTTATGCCAAGCTTTCTTTTCAGGATCTTTTTATATAAAATTCCCAAATGCCACACCATCCCTTCTGACAAATTGTAAGAGAGCCTATTTTGTCCTCCAACCCTCCCTTCTGATCTAGGATCAGATGTAGAGATAGGGATGAAAAGGAAGCAGGAGGGTCTAGATGTGCAGAGTGGCTGCTACTTCCCCCACAGCCTGTCCAGCAGAGTGTACCTTTGCTATAAGTCCAGAGTGCTCCTGAGTGATGGAACTCGTGCTACTGTTGCTGAGGCTGGAATGATTTCACATTTGACTCAGACACAGACCTTGTGGTTCTGCAGAGCAGGTGAGCTCAGGCCCTGGGGAAGTTGATGTCTGAGCTGGGTTTTTTACTGGCAACATTGGGCTGCAGCTGTCAGCACCTAGACAAGCAGAGAGAGAGAGATACACACAGAATTTGGGAACTGTTCAGCAAGTGCTGGGAAATGCAGTCACAGAAAGACCAGTATGTCATCAAATCCTAATGAAATTACCTCGGAATAGCTCAGTGCCTTTCGGCATCTGTTACTGGAGCTAGACAAATCTGATTTTGTACAAGTAATTTTTAGTGTGTTCTTAAATGTAAGACTCCACAGTATTTCTTGTCTTAGTTCCTGGCACTAGAACAGAGCCCAGCCTTTTCTTGTCTGTAGAGTACTGTAGAAGCAGAATGTCTGTGATAGGCATTGGTTGGTAACCTCCACGCCCACCTTTGTTTTCAGGGCTGTAAAGTTGGGGGACAAGCTATGTATTTGAAAAGATTTGACAAGGAAATAGCTGTTATCGCCTTCCCAATGAGTGAGGGACCCTTACTTCATGGCTGAGGTCCTAAGTTGTCTGTTATGCAAACTGTGGCGGACAATGGCTATGACCTGCCAGCAGCATAGTAGTGAGGACTGAATAAAAAGGTAAGCGTAAAGTTTGTAGCACAGAGCTTAACACATCATGGACCCTCAGTAAATAAAGAAATGTTGACTTTTCTTTGTGCTGGAGTCTTTTTCCTACTTTGACACAGCATTAGAAAACGGTTTTGTGGTCCTGTCTTGAGATCTTTCCTGGACATGTGCAATAGTGTTACACTGTTCCCATGCTAGTGTATCAGTCAGCTTTGCATAACCATAATGAAATACCAAAGACAGGATACTTATGAACTGAAAAGAAGTTAACTTAGCTCACACTTTTGAAGGGTCAAAGGTATTGTATCTACATTGGCTAAATTCTGGTGAAGACTGTGTGGCAAATGATGAATGGTGATGGTGTAATTCCATGTTAGACATCTTGAGCCAAGAACCAGAGAACACAGGGTAGGACTAAACTCAGGACTATAAAACAATCTTTTCAGAACAGTTACCAAAGAGTCCTATGGAACTTACCTTCAAGGGCCCACTCCCTGTGCCCTAAGGACCTCTCACTAGACCCCATCTGCTAGAGGTCTCCCCTGCTCACAGTAACACCACCATGTAGAGCAAACCTTAGTTCACAGTGTCCTCCTGGAAAACACCCAAGCCATAGCAGCTGGGCTGTGAAAGAAGCCCTGGTGAGATGGAATGAGGCAATCCTGTGTCTGCCACAGAGGCCTTGAAACACAGCTGGAAGGGGAAATGTCGCTACCAGTTTCCCTTTGGGAATGTTGTTGTAGGACTAATGTTGCCCACCGAGAAACCTTGTTGGGACAGCTGCTAATGAATCAGGCTTCCCCCAAAGTCTCAGGTCTGTGTCATCCCCACCAGGATGACTCAGAAGACTCAGTGGATTCCTTTGTGAGTCAAAGGAGTCAACTCTGTGAAATGGTTCTAAATCAGAACCTGTGTTTCTAGATTTATTCTACATTGTACAGTGATGCATTGCACATTTATCATTAAATGCTATTCATGATGATTTTTTAATAACATAAGAAAATTCTATGACTTCAAGTTAGGAGGATTAAGGAAACACAACATCAGCAACAACATCATCAAGGAAGCCAAAGGGCAGGGAGGGGAAGGTATGTGACCCTGCAGCAGAGGACCTCAATCCCCTAGAAGACAGATCTAGGCCTCTGTTCTGAGGCTGAAATGTGTGGCTTAGAGAACATTTCCTTTGCCCATTTTTGGAGTTTAACTATTTGAAATAATTTTGCTTTCCTTTGGTGATCAGAAGATAAAAACCTCAAACACTATTTCTTTAAAAATAGGAAAGAACGGGATAGCCAAACTTTCTGGACCATTTCCATTTCACTTTTCTTCTAAGCAGTCCCTGAAGCCAGAAAGGCAGGTGGTTTCATTTTAAACATGGAGGTGAAGGTCCTTGTTCAAAATTCGGCAGACAAGCTGGCAGAAGTCAGGACTCCTGGCCTTGCCCCACTCTATCTTTCTTCCTCTGGACAGTTTCCTCCTCTCAATGATTCCATAGCCATATCCCCTCCCACCTCAATTTATTCATCACACTGTATGAAGCATTTATAGCATCTTAGGCAAAGCAGGAAGCTCACGGAGGAACTCAGAGATGGAAATGACAGTTCTCGTCTCTTAAGTCTTTGCTTTCTGGTAGAGATGAGTATGAAAGGTTGATAAAAGAAATCTCAATGGAACACAAAAAGTGGCAGCCTGTACAGAGTGTCTTGGGTTTCAGAGAATGGAATGACTAATTCCACAGCAGGGGCGGGAAATGATCAGAAAAAGTTACAGAGTGGAGGTGACATTTAAATTGCAACTTGCTGTCTGGCATAGGAGTTAAGGAGCCCAGGCTCCCAAGTTGGGCAGACCTGAAGGAACCATGGTTTTCATCACTCCATACCATAGACTTTGACAAATTACTTATCTCCCCCCTGACTCCACATAAACTGCTGGAGAATGGGGGTCTTCATAAACTACCTTGTGGTAATGTTTTTGAGGAATAGAAGAGATGGTGGAAGCAAGAATTTAACAATAGCCCAGTGTAATGTCAAGAAACTAGAGCTTTGATCACCACTATCCATAGTAATATTGCTGCCCTTCTCACCTCAAATGAAACTGGCTTCCTGTGGTAAATAAGCAATAGAATACTATCCCAGGCCAAAGGAACAGCATGTGCAAGGTCACCAATGTATAATGGCCCCTGACCTTTTACAAAGTGGTAAGGAAATGGGGATAGGGCAAGTGAGCTAGTTGGAGTGTGGGTATAATTGCTGGGTGGAAGTCAGGTTGCTGAGGAGCCTTGTTTGCTACGAAGGAGTTACAGTGCCTATGGATGGTGGCAGAAAATAATTAGAGACAGAAAAGTTAGGGAATAACATGCTTCAGTATGTGTCTTAGGGAGATCCCTCAGGCAACCATGACAAGCCTGGAAAACAGGGAGCAGAAGTAGCCCTTATAGGCCAGAAAGGGTCTACATGGAAGAGATAAGGGCTTACGGTGACGAAATTTTGCAGTGCAGCAAAATCAGGCCTTCCTAGACTTTGGATACTGCAAGGTGAGGAAAGCAGTCTAATTCTCAGGGAGCCCAACATACAGGAAAGGAAGGGGACAATGGTGACATATAGTCACAAGAGGGTACAGAACAGGTCTAAGAGGGTTGAAAGGAGGCTGATATGATCTCCAGACCAGACACATCAGAAAAGGACATGTGCTTATTGTGGGAGGCCCCAGTGGACCGCAGCTACCGGAGGTCAGCGTTACATTGGTGATTTTCTCTCAGTGTCCTTGGCTCCTGGCCTGGCATGGAGAAGAAGCTGGACAACTACATGCTGAAGGAAGTAATTATAGATGGGCTCATCTGTGATGGGTTCTCAGAGCTGGTGAATATGTAATGAGCATGTAGTAGCAGAAGTGATGCAATCCCGGAAATGCAGAAATGCATTCTGGGCCAGGAGCCTGAGTTTGTGAGTGTTGGTGATTTGCATTGCTTTGATTTTGCTCTCTTTGATCCTTTATTTGCAACTACTAAAGATATATTGTTTTATTTGAGAAAAACTCAAGCAAACAGAAAATAGTGACAGCCACAGATACCTTCTGATCCCTTTAGTCAACCTTGAGTGTCTGCTGGTGGATGGGGTTGTCATTTGGTGCACTCAGTGGAAGATGAGTATGAACTGCTCTGCAGTTCAGCAATTAAAATGACTCAGCCTCTCTGGCTCCTGAGAAAGAGGCTTTTCTCTTAGCTTAATATGATGTCACAGCATTGTGCTCGCTACCTGGGAAACCAAGCCAAAATGCCGAGTGGAGGTCACTGTGTCTGACAGTCTAAAATAATGTATATTGAGGTTTTGTCAGAAGAAAAATTAGGGGTTTCATTTGAGTGAAATTTAATATAATATACTTATGGATTTTGAGAATTTGGGAAAGCCATTCATGATAATAAAGCTTTTATTTGCTTTGCAGCAAATAATCCTTTGGTGTGATTTTTATTGTCTTTTCACTGTAGTAGTGGCTGAAGCCAAGGCAGCATGCTTTGCCCAAAATGTTCTCTCCGTTAGACCTTGTCTCTTTTAAACCGCATTTTGTCTGAAATGGACTAGGTCATATGTAATAAATGTTGGCATTTTAATAGAAACATTACAGCAAAAATAGTTAACAATCTGCTTTAATTTCAAAACTCATTTTCTCTCTCCTACAGTAAGGCAGTATCTTGGTAAAATGTGCAAAATGCACTGGGATTTAATTACGATGCCAATTTATTCTGAAACAAGGTTAAGCTGGGCTGTCAATATTCAGGATAAAGGTACAGGGAGGAGACAGTAGTGTCTGGATGATTCTGGAGTCCTGCCACATAGACCGCAGTGGAATTAGAAGCATTGGGCACATCGCCTGCTAAAGACCCTGATCTTGGGAGCCTGGAAACAGAGGCTGTATGTCCCAATAGTGCCACCCCCATGTGAAGACTGATGGACAGTGCAAAGACTGGGGACCGTTTTTAAGGTCTCATCCCATTAAATCCAATTTCTTCATTAATTTACTCCTGCAACCAATATTTGAATCCCCTTATGGCAAACAAAAGTAAGCTAGGTTCCCTCTGAGGAAGATGATAGGCTGGGGAGTGAGAAATGCATTGGCTGAAGAGTGGCACGAACGGGTAGACAAGGGCAGCTGTACTGTGGTATTTGCAGTAAGGTCCCTGGTGCCTATGCATGACTAAGAGGAGTGATCTGGGTGGTCTGGGGTAGTAGTGGTGGTAGGCATGGGTAGTCATGGGGACTTGTCAGGCAGAGGTGTGGTGAGGAGTGTTTCAGGCAGGAGAAGCTGTCCCCAGACCCTGTGGGGGTTGTCAGCATGATGAGGCCAACGAGTCCAAGGAGAATTACTTCAACTGGAGGGAAGCCAGGTGGCAGTCCTGTGCCAGGACCTTACTGGAGAGTTGGGGCAGGTCCTACAGAGCATCTACATCCCAGCAACAGACCTGGTCTTAACTTCCAGAGCTTATCAGGAAGCCATTGAATGGTTTCAATAGAAAGAGTGACTTGGTTCCGATTTGAATCTTGCAGCTGATTACTTTAGCTGCTGTGCAGAGAATGCACTAGAAGGGAAAGATGATGAATGAGGGGAGAGCACTGGGGCAGTTTCTGTAGAGGCCAGTTGAGAGGCCTCTCTCTCTCTCTCTTTCTTTCTTTCTAGTTTCTTGAAACACAGTCTTGCTCTGTAGTTTAGGCTGAACTGAAACTCACAACAATCCTCCTGCCTCAGCCTCCTAATTGTTGGGATTATAGGCATGCACCACCACACCTGGCTCTAACCCTTTTCCTGCTCCATGAGCATAATGATCATAAAACATTTTTGGCTCCTGGAACTTAAGAAAAGCAATATCATTTTTAGCATATAACTAGTTGTCTTGAGCGGGGTAAATTAAAGCCTTTGCAAGTGAAGAGTATATTGAGGACTCTGCTCAGCTAATGGATGAGTTTCACCTCTAGCCTCAGTTTTTTCTAGAATGGCCTCATACGTTCTATCTACCTACTACCTTGCTCCCGGTACTCACTGCTGATGCAAATCCAGGAGCAGATCATCTAGCCTTATTCAATGGCCTCTTGCTCCTGGAACTTTTCAAGTCTCCTTCACATCTGGAATATTTGATTCCATGCCACATGGATCCATAGTTCCTTGAAGCACTACTGTATGCTATGGTCTCATGTGCCTGGAGGTTCTTCAGAGTCGTCAATAGTTTGCTTACTTAACCTACATTGTTATACTTTCTGGTAGCTCTAAGAAAGCCAGGGAGAGTTTGTTCCTTAACCTGAGAAAAACACAGTCTTGTCTCTGACACCAACTATAGCCTCCTGGAAGCATCTTCCTTCCTCTTTCCTAACTTACTTCCACCAGAAAATGAACGCATGAATATGTATTTGTTGGGCACTTGCTATGCGCCCTGCCCTTTGCTCAGGGCTTTCTCTCAGTTAAATGTCAGGACACCTTCGTAAGGTGGGGGCTATATTTTATATAAAGTGGACTCAGAGGCTCTCAGAGTTTGTCTGAGGTCACTCAGCAAAAAGGTAGAAGACCAGGACTTCTGATTTTATGTCCAGGGATTTCTGTTGTTTTTCTTCCCTTAAATTGACACTTCCTGAGTGGATGTCTCACAGTCCAGGTATAAACAACATGAGGTTTATGGTTAAGGCAGAGAAACACTCAACTCATATGAGAAGGTTGTTTTCTTTTCAGCTCTTTCCCAAACGTTCTGATTAGTCAAGTAGAAAATGGATTTGATGTTAATGTGAATTTAGTATGCACTGAATATTTGCAAATATCACTTTTTCACAAAGAAAGCTGGTCCCAGGCTTAGAGCTCTCAGCCTTCAGAAGTGTAAATATTTTTGAACTTAATAAAATTATTTTTATTTCATCTTCTGTCTTTGGAACTTCATGTTGGTTTTCCTTGTATTGATGCTACAAAGGGACCTTTTAAGGAAAAATGAGGCAGAAAATCCTGAATAAATCAGAGTCAGATATACAGGCATACTGATAAAAATCATGAATGTGTATCCCCAGGAATTAAACTGGGGGTGGTCACATTGATTGGTGCTGCCTCCCTTACTCCCAGAGCATACAGGGCTCCTTGTGGCCATTGTGACACTAAAGTCTGAATCTGTTGTTTATCGCTGAGATATGTGTTAAAGCTATTATAATGAAAGTCATCCTGGCTGAAGGTCCTTTGAGACTTCCTTCTTGAGTTTAAATTTTATAACCCAAGTCAACCCAGGCTAATAATGGAGTCTAGGAAAAATATGTAAGTTTATTGCAAAAGATAATATCCCATTTAAAATAGTTTAGAAATTTACAAAACCTTATATTAGTACATCATCTTTAAGAAGGCGCTCTACAGTATTAAGTTCCAAGGATAGTGAGTACACATTTTTTAACTACAGAGAAAGCAGCTACATAAACTTCTGTAATTTAAGTTGATATATCAGTCTTTTCTCCTTCCATTTTATAAAAGTAATTTTTGCTAAATTAATCTGTTTCCACAAAACCATATAACCTCAAGTATATCATTTCTATAGATTATCATGGTAGATGTTACGTAGTATTTTACAAAGAAGCAGTGGTTTTCACATGAGTAGATGATTGGAGTTTTGGTACATGTACGTGTAGATTTTTAAACATAGAAACAATCCTTTTGTTCAGGAAGAAGGTGTTTATCAAATCCTTGTTTCCTCATAATGATTATAAATGTTCACTTTTCAAAAGGGACCTTCCCAGTTTTAGGTAGGTGGTCCAAATAAAAGGGTGTTGTGCTTTGGTATAGAATCATTATAACCTTGGTTTGTGTTATTTCTAGAAATATCAACATTTTCCAATCCCAATTTTATTTAATTCAGTTAAGGGTTCACATGACGCCCCCAACTCAACATATGGTGTGACTTCACAAGCTTCTTAATTTTGTGGGAGTTACCTCCAACTTGTCTTATCGCTCCCTGCCAACTGAGGCAAACACTCCAGCTCAGCTCTGAGTGGTTCTGCTCATCTGACATTAGAAGGTGCACATAGCTAGTAAGGTGGGCAGAGAATATAGTTGTCTTTATCTTCATTCAAGGATAAACAAACAAGCCTTGAAGACCTAAGCAACATGCCCCAGCTTAGTGGAATAGACTGCTCTGGTGCCTGGTCTCTTAATTCTAGGAGCAGGATTATTTTCATTCCATCCTGATACCCAAGAATATAAATTCATTCAAAATTAGTGTAAGCAAAGCAAATTAAGATGGAAGCTGTACAAGATAAAATTACATAAGAGATCCCAAGTGATTTCGCTTTATTGGATTATCCTCTGTGCTGTTCTTTTCCATTGCTGGGACCAATTGAGAGTTGGTTGTATGGATACAGACAGAAAGAGCTGTGGCTCTTAGCCAGTGGTAGCATAGCTTATTGAAATGTGGTTTCTTAAGTATGACAAGTGTATTTATCTTAATTCTAACTTGATGTTATATATTCCTGTCTCATTTTGTGGGTTTAAACATTACACTAGAAACAGAACAAGAACATCTTGAATGACATTCCCAGACTTAAACAGTGCAAGCTGAGACTTCTTGCCAAGTTTCCTCTCACTCTCCCTCAAATAGCTTTGTACGAGCAGCACTGTGACAGAAAGAGGTGGAAATGTTGGGTGGTTTGCTCAGTTACTCTCGATGTGCATGGGATGTGCACATCCCATACATCCACGGGGTACTGGGCTCTGTGGAGACACTCCCTGAGACACCGGGGCTCCAGTACAGGGGGTTATGAGATTCCTTCTTAATGTAAGGTATGGTTAACTTTAGGATCCCTTTCTGGCAGCCTCCGTCCAACTAGGAGCTGGCAGAGAATTTAATTTAATGCAAAAGAATCCAAGCCTTTCTATCCTATCCTTCCGCCCAAAGCGTACGAAGCAATTACTTAATTATTTACTTTTGGAAATTTGTTCAGCCATGCACGTTTGACTGGGTCCCTATGTATGGAGATCCTTTTGAAAGAGTGAACCGCTCTTTAAAGAACTCAGACCTTGGGAAGGAAAGGTCTTTAATATGAAAATGGCAAAAGCTCTATCTCATCCCCCGTCCTGCTGCTTCTTCAGTTGGGTGTCTGTTGTCTGGTCACTGGGAAGGGACACTGTATAGATTTATATATGTCTGGACCTATCTACAGCGGTGTCACAAGGATGAATGGATAAAAAAGAGTGTTGTGTTTTTCTCAGCCTTATGTAAATCACTGTAAAGATAAATTGGCAGGCTGCAGAATCTCATGAAGTTCAATGTTGCAGATAAGTTAACTATGAAATAAAATTCAAACTCCAACTAGATTTGCCCACCCCTCTTCCAGGTAAGACTGGGCCCCAGGAAGGGACACATGTTGTTAGGTGGCCCTGGAAGAGCTACAGTTGTGAAACCCTCTCTGAATTCCAGTCACACAGGATGGTCATACCAAGTCTGGATATCCTGGGATGACCTTACAGTGCCACAGACTGTGTGGCCCAGGCAGCATGAGATGACAGCTCCTTGATTTGGAATCAAGGGCTCATTATAAATGAAAATGACCCCAACACACCACAGTGATCTTGCTTGTTTATGCCCTGCCCACTTCTGTTGTGCTTATGTATGCTGACATCTTAGGAAACTGCCAGGTTATTTATCTAACTGGGGAGGGGTACCTGCTTATAACCCTCCTGTCTTTCTGTTCTGCACAACATGGATTTATTTCTTGTTTCCTTTGGGTGGATGGAGCCCAGATAAGTAGGAAATGCTTAGCCTTGAAGAGGTGTTGGAGAATGAAGTGGGGGTTTTGCTTATGTTAACAGACCAGGATGAAACCTGGCCACCTGACAGGGAATTCAGCAAGTGGACACACCAATGTCCATGAATTCCTCAGCAAGCAGTGGCACACACTCAGGGGAGGCTGGCGATCAGGTGTCCAGCAGTGCCACACCAGCCCGTACTTCTTTGTTCCACAGGTCAAGGGCTCCCAGCTGTGGCCTTTACAAAGAGCAGCATAGGCCTTGGAAGCAGTGAGTCCCCATCACAGGAAGCAAATGGAGAGGCCAAGGTGTGGTCCCAGTGAGCTCAGATCCACCAAAAGCACTTTTTCTTCACTTTCTTGGTTTTCCGCCGTAAGTCTTGTTTCTCAGGAGCCGGGGGTTCTACTGGGGACTTTGGTGGGGAAGATGCCTCCTCAACTGGTTCCACCTCCTCTAGGCTCTGCAGAACTTCATGGAACCTACCTTCCTGCTGCCGAAAGTCGTACTCTACACTGAAAAACACAGAGAACATGGAAGGGAGGTAAATTCAAATCAGTACACACAGATTCAGCATCACCAGGTGTCCAGTTAGCATGCAAGAGCATGGTTGCAAGTCGTGAGTGACCTAGTGGCTATGAGCTCGTGGGAGAGTTATATCATCTCTCTGAACCTCCAATCTCTATCAGTTAAACTGGCACCCATAATCCTCCCTTGCAGGGAATTTATTAAGTGCAACTAAGACATGTAACATGGCAGCCTGGTGGTAGGTGTTCAATAAATGTTGATCCTGTCTCCCTCTTGCATTTATGTGATGCTTTTCATTGTTATTTTTGTTTTTACACATTTTTTCCATGAAAATTGCCTCAGTATAAAATATTTAAGCAACATAATATAATAATAATAATAATAATAATAATAACATATAGTTAAACTGAGCTCAGTTTTCTCATCTGTAAAGTGAAAGTAATCATTCCACCCATCTCAAAGGCTTTCTTTGGAATCATTGTGTTTAAGTTGAGCTGATACAAATCATGTACCCAGAGCAGTGTCTGGACTGTAGTAAGCCTTTCCCTACGTGTTAATTCCTACCACTGTTTTTAATCATCATTACCATTGTCACTACTGATGTACCATGCCTTGCTTTTTGAATTTCTTCTCAAAAATGTGTCTTGGAGACATTTGCTTATACAACTGCCTCATGCTACTCCTCCATGCAGATAGATTTAAATATTCTGCTCATGGCATTTCCAGACACCTCCCTTTTTTGCTGTTTTATTTGTGCATTGGCTCCATTGTATTGTTCTGTCTAACACAAAAGTCTGTGGAGTAAATGAAGCCCAGCCCAGGGCCTTTGCAGAAATGCAGAGGGGTCTGTGAGGGCTGGGGTCTCATCTCAGGGAGCAACATAACCAAAGTCTAGGGATCTAGGAGCTGGATTAGAGCTCTGGCTTGGCAGGGGTGGGAACTGATGCTACCCCTGACCTCTGTGTTTGTGGGAACCACACAATCAGCTCTCCTGGACTCTCAGCCTGCCTCATCACTCTGCTTAGCCTCCCCGGAACCCAAAGAGCAGGATCAGAGGAAACAAATCCTCTTAGACAGCCCTGCAGGCTGTGCAGGGCTCCCCATGTCCTTAATTGTTCACTTTCCTCCCTAGGATGTTGACTTACGGAGGAGGTTTCAGTTGTGGGGTGCTTGTAGGGAAGCTCTTAAGCTTTTAGATGTGTTTGTTACCTGGTTTCATCCCAGGGCTCTCAGAAGTTCCAAGGATGAGGAACCAGCATGGGAGTTTAGAAAGGGGAGGAAATGCGGAGTCATGAAAACAGTGCATGCTCTGTGTTTAGCCAGAAGGAAAATGAGAGGTTGCGTGTGGAAGACGAAAGACCCCACATTGCTTTGGGATGTGGCAGGGCTGGCTAAGGCCTTTATACCCAGCAAGGGATAAAAAGCAGCCATCATTAGAGGGCCACCTGCCCTCGTCTGCTATCTCTGTGCCACCTCCTAGAGCTCAGGATCACAATGAGCGCTGCTGAAAAGATAAATCACCATTGCTACATATAACTAATGAAGCCCCACATGGTGCCTTGTCACCAAGAATTCTGAGTTAGAAGAGGCAGCCTGAAAAGACGGAAGGGCAGAGTGGCCCATTGTGTAGCCCGAAAAATGAATTACCAATTCTTAGGGAGCACTGAGGAAGGGTGTCTAATTGTTTCCTTTCTCTACTTTTGGTAAGCATCACCCAGATTTTCCTCTCTTCTGTTTTCATCTTCTCTCTTTCTCTCCCTTTCTGGTCCCTCTCTGGGGACATAATCCTGGTTAGGTGACATACATAATGAATGGAACGCAGGCTGTGGGTTTTTTTGTTTGTTTGTTTTTTGTTTTTTGTTTTTCTCAGGTACCGGGAACCGAACTCACGACCTTGCACTTGCCAGGCAGGCGCTTTGCCGCTGAGATAAATCCCCAGCCCCGCAGGCTGTGTTTTTTAAAGCAACGCTTTATAGTTCATCCACTGTGAGATCTTGGGGAAGTCATTTCCCATTTTCATGCAAGGGTGTCATTATCTGCAGAATGAGTGCAGTACCAACTCCAGGGACCTCAGCTAGGTTCAAACAACATGTGCATATGTAGCATGCAGCACAGAGAGACATCAAGTTTTCAGTCATTTGACAAACACTGACTGACTATCTTCTGTGTCCTGGGCCCTGTCCTTAACTCTGAGAAAGGAGTAGTGGAGAGATTGACACTCTCCCTGCCCAGTGGGCAATGCTAGTCCAGTGGCTGTGTCCTCAGTCAGTGCGAACCCATGTCAGTAATGACTAGAGACCTTTCTGTCAAAGCCAAAGATTTGCCAGGTCAGTAGGCGAGGGCGTCCACAGACTGGCACACTGAGTCTGACTTTCAGATGCACCACCTGCTGCTGCACCCTGTTTTGTCTTGCCGGGTGGAGTAGCTTTCTGTCTTCACTATGCATGCCTTACTCTCCCCAATGGCTAGTTAAGGAGACAGATTCAGAGGCTGGGGAGGAGTTGTCCCAGACAACCTCTGCATTGCACCAAGGAAGGAATTTAAAGCAGTTAGTCGTAAGCTCTGATTCTCACCACTTGTAGCAATGGGGACATGTGTGGTTCACAGATAGGAAACATCCATACTCACGGTTCTCTTAGCTCTCAGAACAGTCCTACCCTACCTGCTGTGACAGGAAAATCATCTTCCTCACTGAGCTTCAGGTAGAGCTAAGGAGAATAGCTATACCCCACTCATCCTAGATTCTCCGTGCTAATAGAGCCCATCCATCCACCCACCATCCCCTATGTTAGGTTCTATTGGTGTGACAGTGAGCTAGGCAGATCTGAATACTGTCCCTGTGGATATTGCTTCCAGTGCTCCTGGTAGTAGGTGATTAAACTAACAATTGCTTACAAAATATGCTTATTTTTCTCAACTACTCCTGCTTTCCAGTTCTTCATCCATATGTTCCTACCAAATTATATGAATGCACACCTGCATAACCAGCTGCTTTCCCCCGCTTATACGTAACATTTCTTACTTCATAATACAATTAAACAAACAGTCAAGCAACAACAACAAACCACCTGAGTTTATCAGATTTCTACATGTCCCGTTACCTAATAGAAAACAATAGTTCTCAGTTCCAGGATAGCCCTGGAAGGCTGGGGGAGAAAAGAGTCAGGAGGCAGAATCTAAATTGTTTTCCCATCATAACTGGAAGCACAGCCCAATACACAGGATGAGCAAGGGCTTTAGGGCTGAACACTCACGGTTTTGAACAGGAGCTGCCCCTCTTACTGGCTAGGTGACTTTGGGCATGTTTCTTTGTTCCCTGTAACTCGGCTGAATGTGGAGGTTACAATAGCTCCCTCGCTGGGCAGCTGTACTGAAGGGATGGGATAATAGGTACTATCAGCCTGTGTAGGACACGGTCTCTGCCCACTCCCATCTTCTTCTCTAAGTCCTTTATCTTCGTATCTTAGGATCCTCCACACTAAAGCCTTTAGCTCTTCAGTAATTGTACACCTTGCCCACAGCAAGGTTCCTCACCCTCCCCTTTGTGTACATTCAGGGAAGAAGACACTCTTTATGTTTCTATGGAAACACAGCAGGGCTCCATTATAATCACTGGGATTCAGGGAGCTCCCCTCCCCCCTGGTGCGACTGCCCCCACTGGTCTTGACAGTTTAAAGGGGATTCAAAGTGACTTTCTTTTCAAGGCCAGGCAAATAGCAGAGTATAGAGAAGTGTGTATGCTTGGGAAAGAAATTGATTAATGCTTTTTAGGCCAAAGCAATTTATTAGCATAAAGGAAAATTGTCACTTTTCTCCTTATTCATCCATTTGACAAACTACTGTTTAGTTTGGAGGGGAGGAAAGGGAATCCATTTCATGTTGGTGGCAGCTGCCTTGTAAATGGGGAGGGGCTAGTGCCTTTTCTCCCTCATCTGGTTTACATTTTAAGGCTGGGTGGAGAAGAGGAAATGCCAACCCGCATCCTGTGCAGTAGCCCCTTGAAAAAGAAGAATAAGCTGTCAACTTGGTAAGAATTCAAGTAAATTTTTAGCAGAAGGTTGATTATAGGTTCTGGAGTTGGACTCTTTGCCTTGGGCTCTGGTTCAAGAATCAAGGCAGAACACTGATAACATTCCAGTCTTACCTCCCCTTTTCTTCCTCTTGCCTTTCCTATCCCCCCCTACCCCAAACTGTACCATCTTCCATCATCCACATTCCATTTCACTCTATTCCATGCAAGATCATAAGAAGGCAGATGAGTCTTGACTCCTTAGTTCATGCAGGACCCTGATGTACAGTAGGGGACAAATAGTGGCTCAGTAGTTGCTACAATGCAGGATGCAGGGCTGGAGCCACTGAGATAGTCCAGAATAGTCAGGGAGTGTGGGATTGGTCCTCCTGAGGAAGCACAGGATATAGGACCTCTGGTTAAGGGATGCTGAACTCATTAAGGAGCCTTAGAGCCCTTTACACTCAAGAACATGTCTGAGCCTGGTGCCACATGGTGTTTAGAAAGTGAGCTGTGTGTAAATCAGAAATGGGTGAGAATTTTCAGGATTCTGTCTTGAGAGCACCTCAGTAATCTATTTGACAGATCAAGGCTCATGCTAAGTGAGAGTAGAGGGATGCTTTTCTAGGTAACTGGGAGCAGCCAGAGGCCTATATTGTAGCTTCTTGGACAAAGAAACAGTAAGAAGCAGATAGAAAAAAATAACTAAATATATAAGTGCATGATAAAACAAAAATGTGAGGTTCTAGATGCAGAAACTTGGCTGGGAAAACAGAAATTAGGTGAGCCAAAAGGAGGTATATGTTTATATAGAAACACAAAAACCTCTTACTTTTATATGATACCTTCCAATTTGCAAACTTTAGATCTGTGTCTCATTTTTATCCTCAGGATGGTGTGGGAAGGTGAGAAAGATGCAAAGATATTATGCCCACTTAAGAGGCAAGCAAGTTGGCAAAGGGAAGTCACGGTGCAAAT